GAGGCTGTCCAGAAATTGCAGTTAAAAATTGATTGTCATCCCAAACCATACAAGATGTCGTGGCTGAATAAGGGCAGTGAGGTAACCGTAGATAGGTGATGTCTCGTCGCTTTTTCAATTGGTAGCAAATATTTTAATAATGCTTGGTGTGATGTTGTGTCAATGGATGCATGTCATGTATAGTTGGGTTGACCTTGGCAGTATGATCGCAATTTTTTTCATGATGGACAGAAGAATATATACTCCCTTAGCATCAAGGGGAAAAGGACTAAGTTGGCACCCCGGCGTGAAGGGCAATCTCCTACTCCGGTAGTTAACAACACTAATCTACTTTCTATGTCCAGGTTTTTACAAGAGGTTGAGCATGGGGATGAGGTATATACTCCACTGCCTTATGGAGATAGTGCAGTGATGTTAGTGGAGTCTGAGTTACCAGCAGAGGTGCAGCAACTACTAGTCGCTGACCTTATGCTAGAGGACCTTCCTCTTGGACTACCGCCTATGAGGGATATTCAGCATTAGATTGATCTTGTTCCAGGATCGAGCTTGCCTAATCGACCAGCATACTACCTCAGTCCCAAAGAGGTTGTAGAGTTACATCAATAAGTGGTGGAGCTATTGGAGAGGGTTTATATTCGCTAAATTATTAGCCCTTGTGCAGTCCCTGCATTACTTGTGCCGAAGAAAGATGGTTCTTGGCGTATGTGTGTTGACAGTCGAGCAATGAATAAATTTATTGTGAAGTACAGGTTTTCAATTCCTTGACTAGATGATATGTTGGATTAACTATCCGGCTCTACGATATTCTCAAAGATTGACCTGAAAAGTGGATAATACCAGATCAGAATAAGGTTTGGATATGAATGGAAGATAGCTTCTAAAATGCAACACGATTTATATGAGTAGATCATGCCTTTTGGGCTATCCAATGTTCCCAGTACATTCATACGGTTTATGCACCAGGTCTTGCGACCCTTTATGGGAAAATTCATCGCGGTTTACTTCGACAATATCCTCATTTATAGTCTGACGCGGGCCTCACACTTTGATCATCTTCGCGATGTATTAGAGATGCTGAGAAGGGAATGCTTATTTGTTAATC